CGCCGGGAGCCGGTGTCCGCGTGCGGGGAGGCCTCGCCGTGCGCCGCCGCCTTGCTGGAGCCGCTCCCTTTCCTCCTAGGGCTTTAAAGCAAACCTGTCCCTTCTGAGGCGGCCCGGGGAGAAGACCTATACTCAGCGCTGCCGCTTGTTTGTTGGCAATTTGCCCGCTGATATCACGGACGAGGACTTCAAAAGACTGTTCGCCAAATATGGGGAGCCGGGCGAGGTGTTCATCAATAAGGGAAAAGGATTTGGTTTCATTAAGTTGGTAGGTTTTCATACCGTACATACATGTAATTCTTGCAAAATAGCAAATTACAATTGAATTCCTCTAAAACGGATCTTAAACTTTCCTCAGGAATCCAGAGCTCTTGCAGAAATTGCAAAAGCAGAACTGGATGATACCCCCATGAGGGGTCGACAGCTCCGTGTCCGATTTGCCACGCATGCTGCTGCTCTTTCAGTGCGTAATCTTTCACCCTATGTGTCCAACGAGTTATTGGAAGAAGCTTTTTCCCAGTTTGGTCCAGTGGAAAGAGCTGTTGTGATTGTGGATGATCGAGGCAGATCAACAGGAAAAGGCATTGTTGAATTTGCATCAAAGCCAGCTGCAAGAAAAGCATTTGAACGGTGTACCGAAGGAGTGTTTTTGTTGACAACGTAAGTGTGCTGCTTTTCTTTAGGATTCTGTGAGTAACTTACGAATCTTAAACTGAATGAAGCTGTCATTTCCTTACTGCTTCTCAGAATGGAGGTTTAACTTGGAAAATATAATAATATGTATTTTTTTGTTCAGCACTCCCAGGCCAGTTATTGTAGAACCGCTGGAGCAACTGGATGATGAAGACGGTCTTCCAGAAAAGCTTGCTCAGAAGAATCCGATGTATCAAAAGTAGGCACTATCCTTTGATGTAAAGATGATAGATAGGTGCTAGTATATTTTTCCTGCCTGAAAGAGTTAATTATTCAGAAATGAGCTATGAATTTAGAATCCTGTACTTCTCAATTCTTGATTTTGGTTGTGGTTGTGTTTTAGGTAACTTGACATTCTTAGTTGCTCTCCGTTAATTTGTGAAATGTTATTTTTGATTAGTATGCTCACCTTGCATTGAAGAGTTTCTATGCTGTATCGCAAAGAGTAACAGTAAAGCATAATTACCCAGCACAGTATTTTTCTGTTGGGAAATGTAGAAACCTGCCCATGCAACTCTGGAAAATTGGACTTCCAACTCATTGCTTACCTAGTACTGAAAACTGTTACCTCCTTTAAAGATGAGGCATGTGCCATGTTGATGCTTCTCTAAGAAGTCAAGAATTTGTACAAATTGTATGAAAGGAAAAATAAAATACAATATTAAGTGGTACTATGACTGAAAACTAAAGCCTGAATTTGGCTGCTTAGTGGATACGAGAAGGCAATGGTAGGTCTGGGTCTGTAGGAGTCTCTAGTGCTAGTATCATGCTAAGCTCTTGTGCCCTGAGTCTGTTTGTGCTAGAAATGTATATTACGCGTTGCAAAAAGGAGTAAAGGGGGAAGAGCCTGAGAGTCTTCTTTGTGTAATGAAATATTCAAAATTTGCTGTGGTCAGAAATGTAAACAGTTTTGAGACAATGTCTTCGAAAGTAACGTGTTTTTTTAACGTTTAAATACTAGTGGATAAACTATTTCAAAATCTTCTAGTTTTGTTCTAGCAGCTATTGAAACTTAGATTCCACTTTCTTTACAAGCCTTGTAAAGGCAGTAATGACTTTTTTAAGGTGATTTGAAGAAAACATTAATGGCTTTTTAATGATGACTTTGGGTGAGTCATAATTGAAAAACTTGTCCCTGCTGAATAGCTGTACTTAACTCTGGCAACATCTGTGTTTTGTCTCTGGCTGTTGCTTATAGTGGAATATTTAGAATTTAAATTTTAAAGGAGCAGGATAAACAAGCAGTGATAGCAGAAGCTGACAGATTTGTTACTGAAGCAGTTAGGCAGAACTCTTCTTATTTGTTTCTTGTAGTTCTTGAAAGAATTTATATTAAATGTTTGAATCCATGCAGGAGACTTTCACTGTTCTGTCACAGCAAGGTTTATATCACATGGCTTGGAAAAATATTTAGAGTTGCTTTGATGTTCCCTAGTAATTCTTCCTAGTTTAGGCTGTGATCTTAAATTGACCTTCAGTTTCCAGCCTTATGCAGCTTGAATTAAGATTATTTTTTCTGCAGGGAAATAGAGACTCCTCCCCGTTTTGCTCAGCCTGGCAGTTTTGAATTTGAATATTCCCAGAGGTGGAAATCTTTAGATGAAATGGAAAAGCAGCAGAGAGAACAAGTGGCAAAAAACATGAAAGATGCCAAGGACAAACTTGAAAGTGAGATGGAAGATGCTTATCATGAACATCAGGCAAACCTCCTGCGTCAAGGTAATTGGTTCTGAATTTTATTCCATTAGCTTAAGTGTATGTCTGATGGCTTCATGAATAAATTCCTGCAATGTCCTACTAAAAAAAAAGTCCCTCTTTGTAAGTTAAGTTAAAAGGCAACTGAGAAACTAAAGTGGAATGTTGTTACTTAAAATCGTGCAGAAAAGACATGCTGAAAGAAGGTGCTTATCGTAGTGTGAATGAAGTGGATCCATTTCAGCTATGAGCTTAAGCTGGGAAGGGAGCTTGTGAAACCACTTCTGACAAGTTTAATTTCTGTAGACCTTATGAGACGTCAGGAAGAGCTGAGGCGTATGGAAGAACTCCATAATCAGGAAATGCAGAAACGCAAGGAAATTCAGCTGAGGTTGGTTTGACTTTCATACTATTTTCATCTGTTTTCTTTGTGTGTATCTTCAAAGACGCATTTTCTCTTTTGGTTTGCTTATGTGAAATGGAACTGCAGCGGCAGTTTTTCTTCGCGTATTTTAGCTTTTTGTCCCTCTGAAGTGTTAGGATTCGCTAGCTTGTAGAACCCAGGCTGAATACTAAGTGGCTTCTTAGGGTGTAAGCGATGCTTATTAGATGTTGAATGTGCTAGTTTCTGTTGAGACTTAACAGCCTTTTGCAATAATCAGGTCGCAGAGGGGAGGAGGAGATGATGATACGTCAGCGAGAAATGGAAGAACAAATGAGAAGACAGAGGGAAGAGAATTATAGTAGAATGGGTTACATGGATCCAGTAAGTGAAATCGTGATATTTCCGGGACTGTTTGTTACCATGTTCAGAGATTTTTTTCAGATTTTTGATATGTTTTCAAAATTTAATGCATTTTGCTTCCCTTCCGTTAGGTAATGTGATTTCTCTGTGCATGTAGGTAAAACAATAGTAATTGGCTGTATAGTTGCTTTATCTCCTGGAAGGTATAGATTACCTTAATTGGTTCCCCATACTGAAGGTTGTTTCCTCTACGCAGAGAGAGAGAGACATGAGAATGGGTGGTGCCACCACAATGAACATGGGAGGTAAAGAATCTTTTAATAACAACTTTATGTGATTAACTTAAAAATTGTCAGAGTATGATTATATATTTTTCTTTCTTAGATCCTTATGCTTCTGCAGCCCAGAAATTTCCACCTCTCGGAGGTGGTGGCGGCATAGGTTATGAAGCTAATCCAGGAGTTGGCCAAGCAGCCATGAGTGGTTCTATGATGGGAAGTGACATGGTAACGTATCCTGTGGTGGCTTTAGTTTAGCACAAGGAAAATGTTGCAGTTGGGAATTGAGTTTCTTTACTGGTATTTGGATGGTTGCGTAAACTTCTTTTCTTATTGCTGACTTCTTGTCAGGTATTTAATGTGAAGGACTAGTTTGGTGATATGTAGTGCTAGTTTAGTTCTTAACCATTATGGTAGTTTATGGAAGTTGCTTGCAAGCCAGTTCAAATGTGCTGTTAAGCATATTTGCAGTTAACTGATTTTATTGGTGTTTGGAATTTCTGCATCGCAGTTAGGCTTGGAAGGATTTTTCATGAATCAGTTTTTCAAAATACAATTTAAAATTGCATTTCTTACACAGTTAGAGGACTTTGCAAATTGCAGAATTAAGAACTATTACATAATTATGTATTTTAAGTAATTTGGCATTCTGTATTTATGATCAGGTGTGAGACCTTTGTTCTCCTTTTCAGAGTATAACATTACATTTGTTCCTTCCAAGCCTAGGTGGAGTTGATGCACTTTGGTATGGATATGTTGTTAATTCCAAATCTGTACTCATGTTTATTTAGGCAGGAGATTAAGTAATGAATGGTAAACAGCATATTGGTTATTCTGTATGCTGATGTTTGCCATAGAAGAGCAGAAATGCTTTTCTAGCTTTAGCGTATTCCCGTGCTCCTTGACTGCAGCCATTTGGTGGTTCCTATCTTACACAGGGATGATAGCTTGTTCTTACTTGCTGTTCCCCCCTTGTTGGACATGACTGCAGGTAGAATTTCTTAAAGTACTGCATATCTCTTGAGTAGAGGTATGTTTCCAAACAGTACATTTTTGGCACACTATGTGAAAGGGCTTTGAACCTGCTTGGTGTTATCACACTGAAGCAATACCGAAAGATTAAAGAAATCCTTAATGGGTAGGATGGAAATCTGTTGGTTCAGGTCGTGATTACTAGTGTGCTTCCACCCTCCTTATAAAGGGTGTATTCTCTGTGGCACAAGCTGAAGCAAATGATTTTTGGGTGGGATTAGGCCTCTGACTTAATGTTGTGAGCTACCATAGTAGCTTGTATCTTGTGCTTTTATGAGAACCATATCTTTGGAGTCATAACTTTGCAGAGCATCACTGATTCAGTAGAGAGTGCCGGTGGCCTTAATGTATCTACAATCTACTGATGATATATGTAAGCAGTTCATAAGCTTCCAGTGAACAGCTAGGCAGTCTGTGGTGAATGGTGTGTACGTTTTTTCTCCTTATAAAATTGATGGTACAGGTGCATGCTGAACTTGTGTAAACCTGAAAATGTGATATGGTCAAAATAGGTGACAGTAAGATGGTTTAACTGCCTTGAGTTTCGTAGGATGGGGATCTCTGCTCCACAGTACTGTCTCAGTTACTGAGCTTTAAAAAGAGCAGACAGACAAGTTTTCATGAAGTAATATTGCTGCAGTTCCTTTCTCGGAAGGATGGAAGTTAATTTTTGGAAGCCACGAACTTGGAGGTGTGAATTACTACAGTTGCAGATACCTTTTGTAACAAACTGAACCTACTACCATTGTTCTGTTACTCAGTAGCGGAAGACTTGCTTGAAATGAAAGTTGAAAGCAATCTTTGACTTTATAATTTGTCAGTTTTGTAGATCAAATGCTGATCACATCTACTGATACAGTAACTGAATGAAGTACATGCAATTACAGAGGTATTAGTAAAGATATCTGGAGTCCCTGCTTTATTGCAGGGTAATCTAGCTTTTATATCTCAGTATATGAAGCCTTTCAATGCTCTAAGGTTCTAGTGAATTTTCCAAGAGCGTGTGATGAGGTGGGGTGGGAAGGGAGATAATTACTGGATACACACAAGCCTTTGTGCATAGTTCCAGCTTGGAACACTGAAAATGTAGTTCTTTGAACATATTTTGCATATTATGCAGGAGCAATTCTGAAGTACATGGGACTTAATAAATGCAAGCTTTTTTGATGCAGCAATTGTTGCGCTGGTTAGGTAAATCACTGGTCGTTAGCTTTTCATATTTTTTTCTTCTTGTAATCCAGTAGTGCTCACAGTCACTTTCGATTACTACTTAAGGCCTCTGCAGTTTAGTCAGCAGACTGTAGTCTTAACCCCATCTTGAAAAGCACATGGTCTCTGTTGCAGCACATGCCATTAACTGGTGAGTAGGCATTCTGTTTACAGTGACATTTTCTGAATGTCAGCTCATACTTCAGTGACCTGAACTTGCTGTCTCTGGCTAGGCTTTCTGGGAAACGGCAGTGATGTAAGCTAAAATTTTACTGCACTAAAGGTGAGAAGTTTGCAAGCTATTTGCGTTAACTTGGTTGACAATTGCTAGAGATCAATGTGAAAAGTTGTTAATTCACATCTGCACTAATGCTTACATTTCTAGCACTGCAGGGAGGATCTGTTCTTTGTAACAGATGTATGAGAATGCATCAAGTGGGAACATACCTCAAGGCATGTATTACAATAAACTAATTTTTAAATTACCCTTTTTTCCTTTCTATGTTCCCGGTACCTGTGGATCGGCTCAATGGTGATTGTATCGACGAACCTTGACTACGGAACCTTCTAAAAATATATACTTAACACACATGGACATCAACTACATATAATGAACTGTTAATTCTGTTCCAATAGCGTCCTGAACGCTTTGGGCAGGGAGGTGCGGGGCCTGTGGGTGGCCAGGGTCCTAGAGGAATGGGGCCTGGAACGCCAGCAGGATATGGTAGAGGGAGAGAAGAATATGAAGGCCCAAACAAAAAGCCCCGATTTTAGATGTGACCTGTAGTTTCATTCCAGTTTGTTTTTGTCTGTCTTGTTTAGACACCAACTTTTAAATTCTTGCATTTTAGTAAGAAAGCTACGTTTTTATGGATGTTAGAAACTTACTGACCTAATATTTGTAAGTGGTCTGTTTGGGCAAGTACAATTTAATTATGTAATGCAGTGTTTCAAGACAAATTTAGCTGTTTTTTTGATGTATAACGTCCCTAACTTGATGGCAGTGTACCTTGTGCCACTGAACTCCCAAAGTGTACCAACTTTTTTTTACTGTGCTTCAAATAAATAGAAAACTAAATGTAGTAATTCTTCTTGCCATTCGTGGTTAAAAACATGAGGCTAAATACCACACCTTCAGCAGTAAACCAAATGAGTCTTGCAATTGAGGTCAAATTAGACCAGGGTGTGGAAAACTAGTGGAGAGAGATCTGCTCTCATAATCCGCTGCCTCTAGCTTAATATGGGGTTTGAATAGTAGCCTAATTTTCCAGTATGTACAGTTCTTTGAGCATTAATCGTGCTGCAATAAGGAAGCAAATGGAAATCTTGCCAAGTGCTGTAAGATACCATAATGAAAGCTATACTGTAAGTGATGGTGCAGTCCTGTAAAGAATTTCAGGTTTTAGCCATGGATAATGGGTGGTGGGATGGTAGCACTTACCACCTTGGCATTTACTGCTTGAAATCTTCTAAAGACTTAAGCAGAAGACTAGAAATAGTTATTTTAATATAAATCCATAGAATGCCTTGTATTGACTGACTTCCTAATTAAAGGATTGTTAATGTGATATTTATCTGCTGTTAAGCTGCCTGAGATTACAGGATCTGGCCTTGTTCCGTATTGTATACTTAACTAAAGTTGCTTGGCAAAAAGACCAGAAGTGTTACTTAAACCAAATAGAGGAGAATCTGTTAATTTTATACTTTTAACTTGCTTATGTCCTCATGCTATTTGAGTGGACTACTTTGCATAGTTCAGAATTCAATTGTATTATTAAGGGTCTGTAGAAACTAGTCTTAAAATTTGTAGCTTGTGGGTAAATTCTAAAAAGCTGTATGCAAAATACAGAAATGAGTATTCTTGCACGATGGTTATTGCTACTTTATTATTGATGTTTGGAGAAAATGCATCAAAAGTAGTATTCAAATATGGAGTTTAATAGTTAATACTACACAGTACAAATAAACTCCCTTTAAGGCTCTCTTGTAGAAGATTGGATGAATTTGTTAGCTAACTGTCAGTTTCATTAAGTCCCAGAAGAATTGCAAAATATTCTGGACTCATTGCTATAAGGTAGTGATTTTGCTTTTTTAATACACAGTACCAAATAAGCTGGGAACTTGACTTCCCAGCGTAAAATGCCTTGGTGTTATTGCAGGATACCTCAACCTGCTTAGCACGATGTAGGTAAACATAGTGTGGCTGTATCTTCACAAAATTCCCCAACGGCTGAGTATTCTGTGAATACCTTTTAATTTTCTGAGGATTTTCCATTCCTTGTGTTAAGCATTGGCTAATTCTAAATTCTGCGTTAAATTTTCTGTGGTTAAAACATTAGTGTCAGTTTGCAATTTCATAGAGTGTAGATGATCCCTCTTGAAGTACTCACTGTAAGTGCTGTTACTCTTTAAATGTAAAAATATTAGTATGTTGTGAAATGTTGATACCGTTGATACCAGGTAATGCTGACTTTGAATGTGAAGTGCACAAAATAGTGACTCAGCTGGTTTGGTGAATGTTCCTATTTTCCCAGAAAAGTGTTGGGGGCAGATAAACATGCTACCACAATGAATTGCTACTCGGGAAACTGAAATGGCAGTTCCTGAGCTGCAGACCAAGTATTGGGGAGTCCTTATATTGGATGCTTAGTTAAAAAATCAGCAGTCCAACTGCATTGGTAGGATTAAATGATGCATATGTTATCTGGAGGGTGTTCATGGGACACCCACAAAAGGTGGAGGTGTCTGAGATGGGGGATTCTGAACGTAAACATTACATTAATTTTTTTCAGTTTATTTTTCAGATTACATGTCATTCTTTATTAAAGAGATGCTGGTGCATATCCTAAAGTATGTTCTTTCATAGTTCTGTAACTTTGAAGAGTGAAGGATGCTGATGTCCTTGTACCTTACAAAGGTTGTCTTTTGGTACTCCAGTTTGTACGTAAGCTATGTTGCGAGGTATTAAAAATAGACTAGCTGCAAAACTGTGATTAGTAAATCTACTGAAAGATTTGGCAGTTTTTAAAACATTTGAAAGTTTGGTTAAATCTAGCCTGGTAGCTGCGTAAGCAGAATTTCTAAAACAAACAAGTTCTGCTTTGAGTTGTATGTATTAAACAGGTATATTATTAACTAGCCAACTTGATTTCAAGACCTTTTAAAGGTGGTGTCTTAAAAGCTGGCAAACATACCAATTTTAAAATCTGATAAAGTTGTTAAATGGGGGAGGTGAGACAGTAATGTTTCTTTGATATGTTCCTATGAGGTTTTGGTCCTTTTCATAAAATCAGATTTATAATTGAATCTTTTTTTAACTATTTGGCAAAGTGCTGGGTTGGTCAGACCCATTTTTGGATGGTCTGGATCACATAACATTTTTTATGGGGCTTGGAGGACATTGGCTGTTGCAACTTAGCTTGCTTTCACAAAATTGAGCCCATTTTAACAGTTATCTCTAAACTCTGCAGCATGTAGCAAGTGGTATCTTTATCTTCACACTTTCTTATAAATTAATACAGAATCTTATCTTTTGGTGTAGACACATCACACTAATTATATATTCAGCTGATGAAACTGAAACCGCTTTTGAGATTTTGTGGTATTTTTGTGGTAGAAAGAATTCTTGGCTTCTCCTTGGCAACCATTTACTGTGGCAGCAAATTTTTGCTGGAGTTTTTGAGACTGCAATTTACACTTAAAACTAGTGGCCTGCTACGTAACTGCACTTAGCCAGCATTTCTGCAGTTCATAACTGTGAGGAACGTAGTACCACAAATGGCAATGGACATTAGGACCCGGATGTAGTATTCCTGCTTGCTCCGAGATTCTCATTGCCGACTGCGTACAGGTAGGTAACAAGCAATATAATATAACTTGGTGACTTTCTGTGTAATCTTATACTGTGGGTATTCTGACATCACACTTCTGACTGTGGAATTACAGTGCAGCACTCTTCATACCTGTATGCTGAGCTTACATCAAAGCTGCGTGGCTTTCGGTTTTGAGCTTTGCCTTGTTCAGAATCAATAAGCAACTTACTGTGATTCTTAGATAAGTATTCAGACCCGATTCCTTTGTACATATTGACTCGGCTTGTGTGCATTTTTCTTAGTTACACTGTAACTAGATACTTTTGGAGCTCTGTGGGGAAGAGGGAGTGTGATCTTAACTCTTACAGGTGTTACTAGTGCCTAGAAAAGGACCGTTGAAACTTTCTGTAGTGGCAAAATGACCCATCCGCAGTGCTTCCTTTCGTAGAGTCTTGACTAAGCAGGAACTGCATTGATAATCACTGTTCTAGCCTTGCGTGAACTAAGTGGATAGTAACTTAAAGCCTGCTAATACAGTTAGCTTCAAGACCGATTTGAGTGTTTTTTTCAGGGCATATGAATGAGTGCTTAAATGAATATCCCCAAGAAGAGTTTCATAGAGCTTATTGCACACTTCAGGTGTTTTAATTAATCCTTGATTGACAGTCATATGTTCAGCTGCCTTTTTTGACAATACCGAGTTTCTATATTTCTGCCTCTAGTAGACACCTTGGTAGTTAATGTTGAGTTTAATTTTTCATCAGTCTTTGAGGGTGTAATTCTAAACTCTTCATTATAGAAATTCTGAATGTAGTTTTAGGATTAACATGCTTACCTTTCCAGACTCATAAATATGCTGATCTCCAGCTCTTTTATTAGCTCTTGAACCTGAATTTCAAGGTCCCTTACTTCAGCACCTGATCTTGTCTGATGCTCAAGAATGTATTTTGAGGTGGTATAACATGTTTTCCCGGTCATTCTGCAAAGTTCTGCTTTGCATATTTGTTTCTGGTGTTACTGCCATTTTTGGATACTTCTGTATTATATTCCAGGAAGGACTCTGTAAACAGTTGATCTACTGGACAGTCTTGCCCCTGCTGTAGCTTTCTTTTCATGTTTCTTTGAAAACCTGAATTAGCATCTGCACCTTAACCTCAAGATCATAACAGCAGGTCTCTGGCTACACCACATGAGCGCAGCTGAATTCTAGCTAGTCCAGCAGTGACACCATTTGTCACAAAGTCAGCTTGTTTGTTTTGGTGATGGCTTAATCTTACCTGTGAATAGAATTCAGTAACAAAACTGGCAGCATGTGTACTGTCATACAGCAAAAATGAATTATTATAGTTATCTTTAAAGCAATGCTGAGATACCACCAGTTTTTCCAGTGTGCTCTGGTTATGTGACTTTACCTGCAAGAGTGTCGTGGAGGGGTTATTGGCGCATCTGCCTTGTTCTACATACTTGAACTAACAGGTTTTTGACACTCCTAGAGCAGCAATTTGTGACTGAACCATGGGTTTCATATTAGCTTTGATTATTTGCAGCAATGAAACTTGGTGTGGTAGATGACTTAAAAGCAAGTAGTCAATGTCTGCTCTAAGTCAGTCTGTAACAAGTGGGTACAAGAAATGACATTAAAGTGCTTGCATTGTGTTTCATCTTGATTTTCTCTCTGTGAAATACACTTTTTCTCCAAAGTTGATCTGAAGCTCAGAAGTGTGGTGTCAGAATACATATGCGTACCTGTTAGGCCCTCTGATCCAGATACTGGTGCTGTCAGGAGCGAGCACAGCATAGTGCGAATGGGGGCTTTACTGTAACATTAAGCATATACAAAGTCTTGATTTGCTTGCAGTTTTCCCCATAGCCAAACACTGAGGCCTGTGAGTAGTTTTAGGACTTGAGCAGTAATGGGGTTGCATGTCTGTTAATCATTGCCAGCTGCAGTGACATGATCAGGAAGGCCAGTGTTCTGTTACATTTTGTTAAATGAGGCTAAGTATGTTGGAAAGGAGGCATAAAAAGTACGCTGTTCTGGGTAATGACTTGGCTTCTTCCACTACTAGCAAGTTTGGAACCAGCTAATTAGCTTCAGATTTTTCTCACCATACCAGCTAGTGGGGTTCTTGAATAGCTGCTTACTGGAAAAGGAGAAAAAAAAAAAAAGGCAGGATTGGCCTTCTCCCACTTCTGTCATTGCTGCTAGATAATGATTGACAAGTTAGGACTTGGCTGTGCAATCCCGCAGTGGTCTGTGAATACC